TGTGTGTGTGTCTGTCATGAATGTTCAAGTGTGTGCACATGCCTGTTCAAGTGTGTGCACTAGCAGGACAACTTCAGACTGTCCCTCCCCACGTGAGAAAGAGGCGATTTTGGGAAGGGAGACTCAGGGCCCCAGAGAGGATGGGCCAGTGAGCCGGAGGCTGAGCCAGGAGTGGCTTTTGATTTTGATTAGTGCCAATTTCAACAAATAAGGAAGTTCCACATGAAAGTGGAAGTTGTTTTTGAATAATTGAAAAACCGGGCAATCATGTTACCCCGTCCGTAAGGAGGGGTGCGTCCCAGTAAATGGATCGGTTTTATACCAGCCCACCCTCCATTTAGGGTTGCTGAATGAAATACCCTTATACTAAAACTAGTCATTGCTTGTCTGAAATCCATATTTCCTTGGACCATGCCTATTTTTGTTAAGCCAGGTACCTTGCCAGGTCTTAGTCTTGCCTAGTCCACACCTGCCTCTACTATTCGCTCCTTTCTGCAGCGGGGTTGAGTTTGCGGTACTTTATCATCCAGCCCTCTGAACAGCTGGGGAGAGAGGGTTTGGCTGGGGGGAGGGGGAGGGGCTCTGGGTTAAATACAACATTTCAACTTTTTCCCCCAGGGATTTTGAGGGATGGCCTTCTTGGCTGGGTACTGTAGTTGGAGGGCTGGCTGTCAAGGTTTAGGTAGTAGTTAGGGGGTTGTGGTTGGCAACCCACCCTAAGTCTTACAGGGCAGATCGTGAGGAGAGAAAGCTCATTAGGATGTGGAACTTGCTGGTTTCACAGGGGCGGGCAAGCAGCACAGTCCTGGTCTCTCCCTTTTCTTTTTCTTCCAGAGAATGGGAGTAGGATGATGAGGAGGCAGCTGGAGAGGAAAGAGGAGTTTGAGGGGGCCACAGCGGGGAGGGCAGCAACCCAGGGGAGGGGGAATGGTGGCGTCTCCTCTTCCCCAGTGGAGCCTGCGCCCGCTGATTGGCGCCTTCCAGGCTGTCTAGGTTCGACGGGCACCCCTCCCCCACACACATGTAAAGCTTCGCATGAGCTAAGCCTCCTCTTCGAAGGTGACCAGAGAGGAAGCCCCTCGCCTGGCCTGGCCTCGCGGTCTGAGAAGTATGACCGGACGGGACGGGCTTTCGGATGGGTGCTCCAGGAGCAGAGCCCTGGTGCCAGGCCGCCCTACCACCTCTCGCCTTCGAAGCTTCGCCATCACCGACCTGCTGGGCTTGGAGGCGGACCCGCCGGCTCGAACTGGGCCGGGGCTGGGATCCAGCTGTGAGGCCCCAGCAGCAGCCGCGGGGCCCGGGTTCTGCGACTCCTGCCCCGCACGCCGGGCTCTCCCGCTGGGGCTGGGCCTCCTCTGCGGCTTCGGCGCGCAGCCACCCTCCGCCGCTCGCGGGCGCTGCCTACTCCTCGCCGACCTGCCGCTTCTGCCGCCCGCGGGATCGGAGCCCGCAGCCGCTCAGGCCCCACGCCTTCCGCCACCGGTGCTCTGCAGCCAGCAGCGCAGAGAGAGCTTCTCGATGTCGGGTAATCAAGACGCGCTTCCTGCCCCCATCCTCGCTTCGGCCAGAAGCACCTGGGTAGCGCTCGGTTACCCCTCGGGCCACCCCAGGTCTCGAGGGCCAGGATCCCAGACCGAGCCCAGTCAGGACAGGACGACTCGCGCATCTGCGCCACCTGCCCTTGCTGGGCTCCAACCCTGGCCTCTCCTCCCACGCGGGATTCCCGTAGGCGGCGGAGATGGTCATCTCGGGTCCGATGGAACCCTATAACGAGATCCGCAGGCCATCCGCGCCTAGCAGCTGCCGCCTGCTGCTCGGCGTCGGGCAGTGCGTGGGTCGCGGAAGGCTGGGGTCTGTGTGTTTCGAGTCTGCTTTCCAAGGCAAAGGTCTGAGAAACGGATCCAATAGCTGGTAGTTGAAGAGAGCAGGAAGGTTAAACTGGAACAGTGGGCCTCTGGCTGAACTGGGTCTCCAGCTCCTCCCTCTCTTGGTCACCTTCCCAATGCTAGCAGAGGAGTAAGAAGCCACCTCTCCCAGCCCGTTCTATTGTAGCGAGGCTCACGATTTGTTCCAAGCCTACTGTTTTCTCAAAGAAGTCTTGGTGGATTATGGGGCAAGAGAGGAAAGTCTACCAAGGGCAAGGGCAAGAAATTGGGAGATTGGGGATGGGGGGCGGATTATGCAAGAAAACCGGGACCTAGTGACACTGTCTAGCAGAGCACCAGGCTAGGAAGGCAGTGTTGGTGTATGATAAAGGAGCCAGAAGATCCGCAGGGGCCTCAGCTGGAATGTACTTTAGTGCCTGTGGCCACTTGGTATGATGAAATGAGTGGTGTCATTACAACTCAAAGACCACCTTCTTAGGGTGGATTCTTTCTTCTCTGTACATGGATAAAAGGAAAGGTAAACTGCAACAAAATCTTATTCTGTGAGGGGATTTCCTATAGGGCAGGGCAGAGTGTCCAACAGAAACAGTATCATGTGACTGGTGAAAAATTCTGTCACCTTAAAAGGAAAAAGAAAATCTAAATACAAGATTTACAGTCTGATATATACAAATGTTCTCATTTTCATGTTATCAATATAAAACTATTTTACTATGGGAGTACTAAGTCTTCTAAATCCACTCAGTGGTTTGTATCTGTAGCAAGTCTAAGCAACCACTTATGCATGCCCTGACCTCAGGTGTCCGGTGGCTGCACAGCATAGAATATTATAATCCAAGCACACTGTTCTCTCATGATGTCGTTGACGTAGGAACAAAACTACTGTTCTTTTATTGCTTTTGCTTTTATTCGGTTAGAAAATATTTTAGGGGAAGTTCTGCTTTTGAATGATGAATCTGATCATGGCTTGACTTCTAACCTTTCTTTTCCTGGAGTCTTTGGTTATGTTGATTGTGAGCAGGCACACATTCTACTGCAGAGTAGAATGGTCTTGTTTTCAAGGGAGTCTGAACATCATCTGGGTACATGTGTACATGGGTACATAAGCTTCCTGGGATGGTCTCTAGCATGGGTACATCAGAGCAGGGTGAGTTCTGACAAACACTCTGATGTCACAAACCTCAGTCCTGACCTGACTCTGAGAAATGCCAGTGTGGAAGTTAAGGTGAGGTGGGCGGTAGCAGGAGGTGGGCAGATCTAGCAGCTGTGGGACTCTTAAAAGGCAGTGACCGAGTAGCTTTGTCGTCACACAATGTGACACTGGAATCAACTCCACCATTGCAACTTTA